GGTGCAGAGTTTTGACTACGGCCAGCAATTCCCTCCTGGTCACGCAATAATTCCTCTCCGGCTTGGATAGTGACTTGCTGAAGTAAGCAATAACCTTCTCCTGCTCACCATCGCGTTGTGAAAGGACACCTCCTATTCCAATATTGCTGGCATCCGTATCTACTACGAATATTCCTTTCGCGCTGGGGTATCCGAGAATTGGTGTGTTACAAAGCCGTTCTTTTAGTTCTCGAAAGGCTTGCTCACAATCCTCGTCCCAGATAAAGGCACGTTTCTCCTCTGTCAATCGATGCAAAGGCTTGGCAATGTCCGAGAATCCTTTCACAAACCGCCGATAATACGAGCACAATCCAAGAAATGCCCGAACTTGCGTTTTGTCTTTAGGTGTTGGCCATTCCTTAACAGCGACAGTCTTGGCTGGATCAGTCTCAATTCCTCTCTCAGAAATAACATGTCCTAGATAATTCACTTCGCGCTTGAAGAAAGAGCATTTTTTTGGACTCAACTTTAAATTTGCTCCACGCAGCTTGTCGAGTACCTTTTCCAATTTCCTTAGATGATCGTCAAAATCCCGTCCAACAATGATGATGTCATCGAGGTAAACTAGGCAGGTTTCGCCCAGCAGTCCCACCAGCACCTGTTCCATCAAACGCTCAAAGGTTGCCGGTGCATTGCATAATCCAAATGGCATCACCTTAAATTGCCAGAGTCCCTTCCCAGTTGAGAATGCGGTCTTTTCCTTGTCCTTGGGATCCAAATCCACCTGCCAATAGCCGCTTTTCAGATCGAGCGTTGAAAACCATTTCATGCCACTCAGTGTGTCAAGTGTGTCATCGATTCTTGGTAACGGGTAGCTATCCTTCTTGGTTACATCATTCAATCGTCGATAGTCTACGCAAAACCTCGTTGAACCATCTTTCTTCTTGACAAGCACGACAGGTGAACACCAAGGGCTAGAAGAGGGCTCTATCACGTCATTTTTCCTCATATCGTCAATCATTTCTTCAACCTCTTTCTCACGAGCGAATGGTATACGTCTGGGCCTTTGACGAATTGGCATTGTATCGCCTGTGTTTATTTTATGCTTCACCAAACCAGTTCGGCCAATATCACCATCGCTTCTTGAAAACACATCAGAGAATCGAAGAAGTAAATTTCTAGCTTTCATAGTCTCCACTTTTGTCAGACTTTTGTTTTCGTCTAAGATTTTCGTTACAAAGTCTATTCCCGTACTGTCCTTCTTCACAAGATTTTCCGAGCATTTTCTTATCCAGGCCACTTCTTCCAATACGCCCACAGGCTCTCCTTCTTCAATCGTAATTTCTGAATCACTGAAGTTGAATACCGGAATGCGGTTAACATCAGATGACCCCACGACAGTTCTTGCCGGTAGCCATGAGTTTACGTGTTCCGATTTATCAATCACAGCGCACCTTCGAGGTAAACTTCCTTCCCTCCTCCTAGGTAATGCGATTGGTACGAGAGTCTGTGATTTTGGTGCAAGAACAGTTCTTCTTAAACAGCAAACTTTTCCCAGGGTTCCACCCTTCATCGGAATTTCCTCAGTTCCACATAGTAATACTCCAGATTTTAAGTCGATGTTACACTGGTGCCCTTGCAGGAAGTCAAATCCCAGGATGCAGTCATCCAGAATTTTGGCCACAATAACCTCATGTCGATAAACACGTTCCCCAATTTTGATTGTTACATGCAGTTTTCCACTTATCGGTATGCACTGGCCGGTAGCTGATTTCATTTGTACGCCAACAATTGGTTTAAGGTATTTCCTGATGTTGTGCTCGAGCAGCCGAACATTTATCACCGTCCTTGAAGCTCCAGTATCTAATGTTAGCTGACTGTTTTTCCCATTTACTTGACCGTCTATCACCAGAGTATTTCCATCGTTGGTTTGCTTGATGTAGATTGTTGGGGTTGTTCCACTACCAGCCGGCGCCCACCCCGCAGCCCTGGCTGGATTTAAGTTTCCCTGCTGGTCAGAAGTTGAGACCGCCGCGTCCTTGCGGTTCATCTTCTTCGGGCAGTCGCTCCGTATGTGCCCACGCTCTCCACATCCATAGCACATGAAGTTCCGACGGCGTGGAGGTACCTGCTCCGTTGTCGTCATTTCCCGCAGACGTAAGGTACGGGAGTTGCCACGCACGGCTTCCACTTCCAATGCATGGGCCAGAGCTTCTTTCATGATCTTGTGATGGCCCAGATGAACAGCAGCTCGTACTTCTGGGTCCCGAATACCGTCAATGAACGCTTGGAGAAGCGTGCCTTCAATCATTGACGGAGTCGACCGGAAAGCTCGACGTACAAGTTTCTCGATTTCCACGGACCATTGCTGTAGGCTCTCATTAGCACGCTGAGTACGCTCTTTTAATTGCGCTCTGTACACGTGCTCGAGGTGGCTGTCTCCAAAACGTGCTTCAAGTGCGTCGAGGAGGGCACTAAAGCTGAGATCCCCACTTGCGCCGATAGCTTCCAGCACTGAGAGCGCTTGATCACGGAGGGCCAGGGTAAGGGCTGACTGTGCTTCCTTCTGAGTCCAACCATAAGCCTCCATAAGTGTCTCAAACTGTAGCTTGAACGCGGTCCAAGATGTTGTTCCGTCGTAATGGGGAATCTTGAGCCCTTTCGTTGCGCTTGAGGCCATATTTGGGGTGTCAAAAACGGCTGCAAGACGGCTTCGGCTCTTCAAAGGGCTTGGGCTTGCCACTTCCTGTTTGATTTTGGAGATCTCTTCTTCCACTCTCTCCTCTATCGCCATGACGCGATGTTCCAACTTGCCTAACCCTTCCTCCACTTCTTGTACCCGTTCGACAGCCTTTTGCAGTCCCTTCGTGAAATCCCTGTGCATCTCTTCCAAGCGACGCGCTTGCTCCTCTTGGCGGCGAGCTTGATCCTCTTGGCGACGAGCTTGATCTTCTTTCAGCTCCCGAAGCTGTTCTGCCTGAGAGCGTGCTTGCTCTTCTTGGCGGCGCGCTTGCTCTTCTTGGCGGCGCGCTTGCTCTTCTCTCAGCTCCCGCAGCTGTTCTGCCTGACAGCGCGCTTGCTCTTCTTGGCGGCGCGCTTGCTCTGCCATCATTTGCTGCAGCTGTAGCAGAAGATCCACCTGCACAGGCTTGGCTTCTGCATCGCTGGTTTGAGCTGCAGCACCCTCTTCCCTCACACGCTGCGCTTCTGACATAGCACGGGTACTCACTCCTCTTACGTCCTGCGGTACTAGCGGCATTTTTCTCCAATCCCACTTCTGACACCAAATGTTACGTGCCTGACGTCACGTTCCTGACTATGCGGGCTTGGGTTACGGGATTGGATGAAATGAAACACTAATGCCGGTTTTCAGACTTTCTATTGCACTTAAGTTACAGCGTCCACGGAGTTAAGTTATCGGCGTTCCTCTCCAGCAGAGTCCGGCCGACTGACACAACTTTGCCGTTCACGCTGACTTAACTCACTTAACTGACTGCACTTCACTATTTCACTGCACTTCACTATTTCACTCACTTTTCTTCTTTCTCACTTCTTCCTTTTCTTCCGAATCGCTTTAGACTTAGAACTCAACTGCCAGCGGTGAGCCGCAGTTCCGCTTATATACCCCCCCGTCAGGTTCTGGAACATTCAATTTCGTTATTCTTTTTGATCGTCATGCCTCCAGAACCTTCCAATAATTTCGTTATTCATTTTTATTTATTCTCCTTCTCGCTCTTTAATTTTTCATTCTTTTCACACAAATAATTCCAGAAAGTTCGACAAAACTTCCATCAACTAAAAAACTTCATGTTTACGGCGGGACTCGAACTCGGGGTCTCTGTGGTGTAATCCAAACGTCTTACCGATTACACCAACTCGTGTTGACAATTCACGACGAAATTTACAATCTCTAGGCAACGTTTGACAACCATCCATTGACGTCATGATGTCTAAGAGTTTGAACCACTTTTCCGTCACAATATTACTATTTTTAGTTTATTGCCAACTACCAATAAGTAAACTATTCAACCTTTTTATAATTTGAGATAGGGATAGACAGGGAGGCAAACCAATACACAAATCGAGTACGTTGCCGACCTACGTGTAAGAAACTGTTGGCAATCTCGAACTTAGTTCTGTCAATGCGGATATTAGGCGTACATATGTAACATGACTAACTTTTCATACTCACCTAATGAAATAGGTTTACCTATTATTGCACAGCGACTCAGCGCTCAGTCGGTGTAGGCTCAGCTCGCCCCTTGGATCTCGCCCCTGATTGCCTAAGTGCAGCAACTCGCCCCTTAAATTATTAGATACTCCAACTCGCCCCCGATTGTTGGTTAGTTAAAAGTACAGCACTCTAAGTTTATAAAATATTTAAATGAATATTTTTTCTTAAAACTTCATTAATGAGCATTATATATACGACTCTTTCGAGGGGTAACATATTTTAACAAATCTTTTGTTTATAGGCCCCATAAAAGGTCCCTTTTGTTACAGTAGGTAAGCCAGGTAATAAAACTACCACAAGTGGTTAAATTACTTACCAGTTTTGTTTACTGTACATATTTCTGAATATACCTTTTTTAGTTAAATTTCAAAGGGAATTCCGCAAGGGGCGAGTCGATGCATCAAAATAATTATTTAATTGTTAAATTTTTCACTCGCCCCGTAAGGGTTTTCGTAAGGGGCGAACCACAACTCCAAATTAATAAAAACGGGGCGAGTGGAACATTTTAATCGGAAGGGGCAAGATCCAGGGGCGAGCTGATACTACACCGCTCAGTCTTAAATACAGCTGGCTTATTCATTACTGTAACATGTTGCTTCAGCCTTCCAGCCTGCAACCTACAGCCTGTTAATACTGTCTGATAAAGTTGATTCAAGTGTATTTGAAAGAAATACTCGAAGGGAAAAAACTATACTCAACGTAAAATAATCATGTATATATAATAAATAATAATAATCATGTATAAACATTCAGAACGCAAAGCCATTAAACTTTTTTTTACTTGCAGGAATGTGATTCTTCGCCTGTGAGTATAGAGCAGAACAGGATACTGAGTCATGTGGAAGCAATAACGAAACTGGGAGAGATGTTCGACAGCGTGCTGGCGCTGCCCCCCGGCGCCGGCGACCGCGCGGCCTGCCAGCACTGCGCCGCCTCCGCCGCCGCCCTGCGCCGGCTGCGCGCCGCCGTCGCCGACCTCGGCGACACGCTGCTCTGCGCGCCCGAGCCCTGCCACCGCGCCGCGCAGACCGACCGCCAGCCCGACGCCGACTCGGACGCGCTGCGCCGGGACTTGCTCGACGCCGAGCGCCGACACGATGACGAGAAAAGGAAACTCACCAACCTCGTGAAGTGAGTCACTTACCTTTTCCAAAAGAAAACCTGATCCTCTCTCTCTTTAGTAACATTGAAACGTTATCCGTTTCCAGGGAGCTGGAGGCTAGTCTCGAGCAGATGAAAGCGGAGTACGACAAGTGTGAGGAGTATTGGAGCAACAAGCTGGAGGAGGAACGCGAGCTGTTCAGCGAAGAGCAGCGGCTGGGGGACGAGCGGCTGGGCGAGCTGGTCGCCAAGATCTCAGAGTACGAGCGCCAGTTCGCGCCCGCCGCCGCGCTGCCCACTATCGATGAGCGCCACAGCCTCGAGGCGCAGTTCACGGACCTGGAGGAGGAGTTCGCTCGTTACCGCCGCGACAAGGAGGCCGAGCTCAGCGCGCGCGGCGCCGAGCTGGCGCGCCTCGCCGAGCGCCTGGCGGCGGCGGAGCGGCGGCGAGCCGCGCCCCCCGCTCCCCCCGCGCCGCCCGCCGCCCCGCCCGCCGAGGTGCGGGAGCTGCGCGCGCGCACGGCGCGGGCCGAGGCGGCGGCGCGGCGGCTGGCGGCGCGGCTGGCGGCCGCCGACCTGCTCGTCAAGGACCTCTACGTCGAGAACTGCCAGCTGGCGCACCGCCGCCCCCTGTGACCCCTCCCCCCTCCCCCCCGCGGCCTCGCCGGCCTGTCATATAATGATGGTGCTGGCCATATCATGAACGATTATTCTAAATGCATTTACGTATCTGCACGCAATGTGTGGGTGGTAGTATGACTACATACTACCTTCACACCTACATAGGCTGCTCGATTCGTGCGAGTGGTATTACTAGTGCAGACAGATGTAGGGAGTACATTGTGTTGCTGGCATCCATTGCGTATAACAAGGTAATATTGCAATATTTCTGAGAACCTTATTATTATTATAACGAGTTTAATTTATTTCATGTTATTGTTATTGGGATGTATAAGTATATATAAATTATGTTATGCTCGATTCGAATAGATAACGTTTGTACAAAAAAGCTATAAAATGGTTGTTCTACCGAACTGAGTAGAGCTTTGGAGCTCTGCCACGTTGGACGCCATGGCTTCCCTTTGTATCTAAGTAATCTGTAGTCGCAGGAGATATTGCACCTTAGTGAGCCTTGTTTACGTCCCGCGCCAACTAGGCAGGGCTCCGACGAAAGCCGCCGGCGGCGACATAGCGCCTCGCTTACTGGCTCGCTACTTAGGGCGCGTTCCCACCGTGTCGTGACGACTAATTTATCGTTCGACGACTGTCGTCTCCACCTGTTCCCATTATAACGATTGTTTGTCGTCAACATTTTTTATCATTTAGCGACTGTCGTATCTAGCTGTTCCCATTGGAACGCGACGACATTTTATCGTTTCCCGGCAGTCGCTTTGTCGTTTACACATCATCAGCAAGCTACAAATCTAGTCGCCTCTGCGTTCGCTTGGTGATCACTAGTGCGTTTACTCTCCTGAGTTCAATGGACGAAGATGAAATTTTAATAATGTATTACTTTTTGAAAAGAAGGAAAATGAAGCAAGCAAGGAAAAGAAAGTACTGGGTACATCCAATGTTAATGAAAAGAATTCCATTAGGATTATGTCAGAGTTATATAGAAGAATTAAAAAGTGATGATGGAAAGTTTTATGAGTATTTAAGAATGACTGTCTCCACCTTTGATAGCCTACTGGCACGACTTGCAGACAATCTTAGAAGAGAAAACACATATTTCAGAAATTGTATAAGTGCCGAAGAAAGACTAGTGATAACTTTAAGGTAAGTAAATAAAATGAAAATTCTTTATTAATGTATACATTTATTTATTTAGATATTTATTTTAGAGTTACACGTTTTATAAGTAAAGACATCTTTAAATTATATATTGTCAAAATTAAAAGAATCTTGTGTGTTATCAGACAAATTAGTATAGACTGAATTTGGTGATGCAGCCGGTTCCATAACTTGATTGCTAGTCGAAGTTGATGCATCTGGATCTTGTGTAAAATATCCTGTCGGTTGTGATAAATGGTTTTGATAGTCACCATAGTTTGCATAAGTATCATATAAATTATTACGAAGGCGTTTCTTTTTAATTTTTTGGATCAGTTGCATAATACCCGTTTGGAATTCAAAATTGTCATCATTGTCGAATGATGCCAAAGATGGTAAAATTCCTTTAATAAAGGACACATGTGGGTGTTCTTGATTATTTAATTTATAATCAAGAAATTGTGACATTTTATCATCTAATGTGTCAGTCTTAGTTTTCTTTTGAGTAGAAGGTGCTGCATCACTTAATGTATCAGAGATAGAATTATTAGGCTCATTAGATGAATCAGAGGTCATACGGGGCTCAGTAACTTTTAATAAAAAAGACAGCTGATTCTTATAAACATACGGCCTAGTTGTTTTTGCGCCTGCACCAGATCGCTTTTTTTCTTTTTCATTTTTCAGGGATCTCATAAATGCATCTCGAATATGTGTCCACTTTGTAGATATGTGTGTAGCTGTAAAAGTAAAATAGACTTAAAATTAAAATTTGTTTGTGTATAGATTTAACATTATATGTATTAACATATAATCAGTCTAATACGTAGTCAAATTATTGTTCACGCAAAAATCTGCACGTTTTTCAGAGTTTAAAAAACTATAATAAGATCGAGTTTTTCCATTAGTATCCCCGGATGTTTCCGTGAACAAGTAAGGGACTACCTATTAGACTGATTATATGTTTATACATAATTATAATGTTAGGGCATTGGTCCTCGAATATAAGCGTATTATAATAGCTGTTGTATTTATTTACAGATATTTGGCGTCGGGATGTTCGTTTAAACAACTGCATTATAATTTTAGAGTGGGAATGTCAACCATCAGCAAAATAATCAAAGAAACGTGTTCTGTTATTTGGAGCGTATTAAGTGCAGAATATTTAAAGTTGCCCAATACCGAAGAAGAATGGAAAACGGTCGCTGAAGCTTTTAAAACGAAAGCAAATTTTCCTCATTGCCTCGGTGCGCTGGACGGCAAGCACATAAGGATTACAAAGCCAATAAATAGTGGTTCTATGTTTTTTAACTATAAGGATTATTTTTCTTTTATTTTATTTGCAATTGTTGATTCAGAATACCGCTTCATTTACGTAAGTATTGGTTCATACGGAAAAGAGTGTGATTCATCTATCCTAAAACAATCCAATTTTTGGAAGAAATTAAATGATGGTACTTTAAATATACCAAGACCCACGCCATTGCACGAAAATATGCAAGAAGAAATACCATATGTATTTGTTGGAGACGAAGCCTTTACATTGTCACAAAATTTATTGCGACTTTATGGCGGTACTCATTTAGACAATAAGAAAAAGATATTTAATTACCGTCTAAGCCGCGCGAGAAGATATGTTGAATGCACTTTTGGTATCTTATCCAATAAATGGAGGATCTTGCATAGACCATTGGATGTATGTGCAGAAACAGCTATTGAAGTTGTAAAGGCTTGTACGGTATTACATAATTTTTTAATAAAAAAAGACGCTATATACTTGGAGAATACCCCAACCGTTATGCCCCAGGTAAACATGCCTGCAACACAGCTGCGTTCAAACGGAAATGGTGGAAACGCAGTGCGCTCACAATTTTCCGACTATTTTGTATCTGAAATAGGCTCCGTACCTTGGCAAAACATTACAGCACACGTATCATAATAAATAAAAAGTTTCAGAAACTTACCGAAATCTTTTCTTTCCTTTTCCTCCAACTTGTCAAAATTAGGTTCAAAAACGCAACAAATTTCTCTCCACGCGGCTAATTTCAAACCTTTGTCTTTATAAACGTCTAAAGTTTTGTCCCAAAGGACAGCCCTTTGTTCCACAAGTGGAATTAAAACTTCCGGTGTTATATTATTAGCCATTGTTATACGTCCACCATGCGCAGGAGTCTGACAAGTTCTAACACGCACAAAGCAAACCGAGTACAGACGCGAGGGGCGCGCGGGTGCGAGAGGGAAGGGAAAACACAGTTGCCGTCCACGATTTTTTATCGTTTTACGACTGTCGTGCTTGCCGTTCCTACTGTCACGACAAAGTGTCGTCACTGCAAAAACTGTCGTAGACGACAGTAAATTGTGTCGTTCTAAATGTGAACACCTCCATTTAAACATATAAGCCACGACACTTAAAACTACACGATTATCTGTCGTCACGACACGGTGGGAACGCGCCCTTAGTCGCCAATTTGAACGCAGAGTGGCCTGTCATTTATCGAGATGTCATGGCTACTCGACTTGGCGCCGCTCCGATTCCAGAAGAAGCCAACGTCACCATGGCGTCCTAGTGAGGCAGGGCTCCCATTAACATCGTTATATAAGAAATCAGAATCAGGATAGTGATTCATTGGCCGAAGTGCCTTGACGAGCTTCGTGTAGTTAGAGATGGAAATAACAGGTCGGCGCGAGCGCAAGCCCCGACGTTATACTGTGCTGTATGCGCCAGTAACTACGACTGGAGCGGCCTTTCTAAACACTGCCCTCGTGTTCTATATGTAACTGAGCACGTTGCGTGTACCGTGTAAGTCGTGTCAGAGGATACGTAGTTTGTTATAAGCCGTCAGCGCTGATACAGTGCCTAAGCTAAAGTGTGATCCCCATACAATGCATTATTTAGGGTAGGCTAGGTCTTATAATGAAATTATACCTTCTTTATTGCATAAGTATATAAATGCAGGCAGCAGGCGCGCGGCGGCCGGTGTACTCAGCGTTATACCTTGTAGCGATAGAAAATTGAGTAACTATGTTTAAAGCAATGTTCGAGCGTCATTGGGACTCACGCCACGCGTCATGTACTACACATAGTATATTCTGTTTGTTTCACGGGTAGCGTCTAGTATCATCCGAATTCGTAATGGCACTAAGACCGAATCGACTGAAATATAAGTATGTATTTGAAAATATTTTAATGATCGTCGAGTATGCAACGCATGATGTCGCCGCGCGGCGCCGCTCGCCGACTGAATGATCTGATGTGTGCCCGACCTAATTGTATACATAATAATATCAGAGTATGTGATTATTAAAGTGTTAATCAAATTTGTGTTTTATTCCTTGCAACAACACTTTACCCATAGTATCGATAAATGAACAGACGTAAGCAAATATTAATATTATTATACATATAGCTTTAAAATCATTCAAGAGAACTCTGAGGGTTCATTTCCGGAGTGAAAAATCTATACTCGGAATTTTAATTCCATTCCAGATTTGACAATTTCAGTGTTGCAAAGTTATGACAAGTACTACTTAAATAGTGACGTTGCGAAATTATTCGATATGGAAATTGAATATTCGGGGTAAATAATCGGGGTTTGAACGTTTAACTATGTCTACCTTACACGATCTAGGTTTAGGATGTGAAAAAATAAGAAATACTTTACAGCGAAAAACTATTCATTTACGTAATTTACAGTAATTGTACCTTTCTTGCCTTTATGTTGGCGAAATCTGTTATCAATATTTTTGTGTCTAAGCTTAGTATCTCATGTTCAATTGAAACTATGGCTAAATTACTTAGTTACTCTTTGGTGCATTGTTAATCTTAAATAGTTTTTTTTTATAATTTTTAACTTTAAAAAGGACTGTTTACCAGATGCAACTGAAACCGGCAACGTAATGTTGATATTAAATCATTTGCAAAAATACATACCTACATATATTGCAATAGGGTTTGTGGATCATTAGACCGGAGTTCAGTAAAATGCTAAAACTTTAAAGCATTGATTTATACCGTCAATATCTGTGTCATTATTTGAACTGTATTTTAGCTTCAAATTCAAATCTTTGCAATGTTTCATTAAATCATCTTTGGAGTAAGTAACTAAATAGCTGAAAATCACGCGCAACCATATATACCTACCTAATCTGTCGACTACGATTTTAGAAGCAGGTAGGTGATAAAATTGAAATCATAGTCCTAAACATCGGATGACAAGGATCAAGGTTATAAAGCATTTAGGGGTGCCTAAATGCTTTATGTGAAATGGGAAATGGAAATGGGAATTGATGCCCAATTGGAAATGCTTGTTTACAACAGCAGCTTGCAACAGAAGACAGGACGGGTAGTGGTTCTACCCAGTGCGTTAAAAAAATCTATCAATTTGATAGATTTTTTAACCCTATAGGCAGAATTCCACATAATTATGACATTAAATACTGTCATTTTGTGAAATAATGATACCACACTAAGTTTAATGGTGTAGTGATGAACACAAAAATCGATAAACGATTTGGTGTGTGCCAAGAGTGTGCCAATTAAACACTAAATTATAGATTTTTATTTAAATAAATACATAATTATTCATAATAATTATTAATTAATTAGTAATCGCTGCTATATTTAATATATATTTTTTTAAATTATTAGCAAAACTTATAATAAAATAGTTTTGAATTGCTTATCGTGTCATTCAGCTTCATTCAATACTTAACGAATACATTTGTTATTTTTGCTTTAGTCTGAGATTATTGAAAGTAAAGTGAACTTGTGATGCTAGGAGATACGCTAGTCCTGCTCCAAATAATGTTCCTTTATTGTCAAACTTGATAAATTTGTTAATGTGAGTGCCCTATAACTATAACCCAGGCCCGCCGTAAGCGGGCGTGCAATGCACGCGTGCGGCGCATCCAGGGGGCGGCAAATCAATACTAAGAAATATGAAGCGGCGCGAAATTATTTTCTTTTGCATTAAAAAGTGCCAGTTATTGGAATTCAAGAGAAACATATTTGCAAACAATTATTATTCTAGAAATATTCCTAATGGAGAAAAAATTAACAGAGAATGGCTTGTCATTTGACTTCTTCTTGGCTTTACGTCAAATGATTTCAGTCTATTGCTTTTGTTTTAAAATATTCAGTAAAACTGTAAGTAGTTTGACGGCTCCAAGCGGTTTTTCCGATTGGCAACATTTGTCATCCACCTTAAAACGACACGAAACAAGCGTTACCCACCTAACATTGACATAGGATGCGAGGACCACCTAGAGGATATGGTGGCGGTATGCCCGGCCTGGGCTGAACACCGCCGTGTCCTCAGGGAAGTGATCGGCGGCGGCGACCTCTCGCGCCCGGCCTTAGTCGAGGCCATGGTGCGGAGTGAGAGGAACTGGGACGCCGTCTCATCCTTCTGTGAAGCAGTTATGCTCGCAAAGAGGGAGGCGGCCCGCGTGAGGGAGCAATCCTCCTCCTCCTCACGCCCCGGCCGCCGCAATAGGCGACATTCCGGGCGTCGGGGATCGAGAGATGATCTCCGGCCACCGTAAGCGCGGGTCTGTGGCCTGCGAGTAAGGGCAGCTCGCCGGCCGACTAGAACCAGGCCCGAGCTTACGGCGCGTAGCGCACCGCGCGCGCCTCAAAGGGCCAATAGACCACCACAGACGGGGCCCTATGGGGCTGATGTTCAGCCGGGGTTGCGGGGTAAGCGCAATGAGGCACCGCGTCCTTGGCCCAGAGCAGGAGAAGGAATAGGGGGGTTTTTAGTCAGTAAGAGCCTGACACTCCCTCCCGCGCGGCCCTGTTCGTGTCGTTCTAGTTTACCCAGTAAAATGTCGTGATTTACGTGATCGAATGCTTTCGACATGTCCATAAACTCCGCAGCATCTGGATTTTTATGGTCAACATTACTAACCATTTCTGCAAATGAGTCATAGATTGCTTTATTAATATTTCTATTTTTCCGAAAACCATATTGTTCCTTAGTAAATAGGTTGTATGAGAGCTATTGGACGGTAATTTAAAATAATAGCTTTCTCGCCTTTCTTAAGCAGTTGTTTAATAAATAATCGTATTTTTTTTTGAGTGGAAAATCATCAAATTACTTCTCCCGCCCAGGGCCGGGCAGGAGGGAGTGTCAGACTCTTACTGACTAAAAACCCCCCTGTTCCTTCTCCTGCTCTGTGCCGAGGTCGCGGTGCCTCGTTGCGCTTACCCCGCAACCCCGGCTGAACATCAGCCCTTTAGGGCCCCGTCTGTGGTGGTCTAATGGCTCTTTGAGGCGCGCGCGGAACGCTACGCGCCGTACGCTCGGGCCTGGTTCTGGTCGGGCGTCGAGCTGCCCTTACTCGCCGACCGCAGGCCCGTGCTTACGGTGGCCGGAGATCGTCCCTCGATCCCCGACGCCCGTAGTGTCGCCAGTTGCGGCTGCTGGGGCGTGAGGAGGAGGATTGCTCCCTCACTCACGCGGGCCGCCTCTCTCTTTGCGAGCATAACTGCTTCACAGAAGGAGGAGACGGCGTCCCAGTTCCTCTCACTCCGCACCATGGCCTCGACTAAGGCCGGGCGCGAGAGGTCGCCGCCGCCGATCACTTCCCTGAGGATACGGCGGTGCTCAGCCCAGGCAGGGCATACCACTACCGTATGCTCCACCGTATCCTCTAGGTGGTCGTCACAATGACGACACTCGGGCGTTTCCTCCCGCTGGACCCGAAACAGGAACCTACCGAAGCTGCCGTGCCCAGTAAGCACCTGCGTCAGGCGGAAGGTGAGGACGCCGTGGCGTCTCTCAAGCAAGAGCAGTAGCAATTTACGCAAGATATAGCATTAGTACTATCATAATTGTTTACAATTTCAGGAGTCACTGAATCTATGAAGTATTTATTAAATGTCGTAGCCATTTCTGTGGGGTCCTTTATTAGTTTGTCTCCGGTATTTATTACTTTTACAGATTCAGAAGGGAAGTTTAATTTATATCTATTAATAACATTCCATGTAGCTTTGGACTTATTCTGCGCATTTCAAATTAAATAGCTATTTTGGGATTTCCTAGATCAAACGTTAACTTCTGTAAAGGATATATACGAGGGATTGGAAACTTTTACCGACTTAGTTGGCTTTTTCACCAATAATAACTTAGGTAATTATTAGTCACTGAGACTATGGTTGAGATCGTCGGATTCCATATTATATAAACTATACCTATATGAATCCGGGGTTGCAGGACAAGCGCAATCAGGCATCTCTGATCATCTCAAATCTTGTTTTGTCATAACGAGGTGAGTCTGACCTTCCCGCAGAGTTGTGCTAAGCGGCATCGAACTCATGACATAGCACAGCAGCAGGTATACCGTACTGTGCGTCGCTGCAACCATGGTGGTGGTGGCCCAGTAAAGTACGGCCCGTGCTCAAGAGCTTATTGAAAAGGACATGTAATAAAAATATACTTTATTTTTTAGAAATGTTAATCTACACAAATCTATAAAACAATAGATGATTTAACATTTTGATATAGGGTGAGCGCGGCCCGCCGCTACAAGTACATGCCGTTGACGAGGTAGTCCGCGTCGTGCGCGAACGGAGACTTCCCGCGGCCGCGGCGCCGGCGCATGGCGGCGCGCGCGCGGCACGTCAGCATGCCCAGGATCGCCGTCAGCATGAACAGACCTGCGCAACCCAATACTCAGTGGCCACGCCCCCCACCCCCAGGGCGGAGGGGGGAGGAAGCCACTTACCTAGTACGAGCAGCATCATGGCGGCGGGGGGATGCTCGCTGAGCCCGTCGTGGTCGTCGTGGTCGCCGCGCTCGTCGGCCGGGTAGTGCACGTGCGCCGCCGCTGACGACTGTTTCTTGTCTGCGCTCTCGGCGGGCTTGCTCGTCTGCGCCGGCTACACACGCGACACTTGTACGTATTAAGACATTCGGGAAAACTAGACAACTCAAATAATTTACCCATCTTCAATCTTCATTTTATGGCAATTATGTTTGGTGAGTGAGTTCACCCACAATCCTAAATGACTTCGAAATGATTTCTAAAATGGCTCACCCGTCCCAGTTTCAGACCGGAAGTGGTGTCAGATTCCTATTGACCAGAAACAATTGTTTCAAACTCCGTGTTACATAATTTACCCGTGACTCCGGCGTGAAAACTACCCTAGTGGGCCTTCCTACTTACTTCCCAGAAAGAAGAGACGGATTCCCAATCCCGGTCGCCTCGTACCAATGCCGGGGGGACGCCATCGAGTACTCCAGAAGGCTGGATAATTTAGTGAAATAAATAGAATACCTTAGGCGCGGGTGGTGGCGGGGGTCGAGGCGCCGGCGGTGGCTCCGTGCTCTCTTTGCTCAGCAGCTCGAAACCTTTCTTGGGGCTGTCTCGCAGCGTCTGTTGCTGGCTCGAGTACACCACTGGAATCTCAGGCATCGTCTTCGGAGGAATGTACACCGGGATCTCCTGGAGTCATAGTTACCTTATTCAATATAACCGTTATAACAATATTGTATAACCGTCTGGCACCTGTCAAGGTAAGTAGTGATATGAATGTCAATGACGTAGGTACTGACCTGGTCAGCGCGCGGCACAGGCCAGGCGCGGCGCGGGTCGGGCTCGGGCCAGTACGCGCCGCCCCACGCGCCCTCCGCGCCTGCAACGCCACACCACGCACTCGTTATCATGGCGCGTACGTAGTCAACGCAATCGTTATGTACTTGTGTCTATGTAAGTTGTTCGTGCGGAAACTCACGATGCACTGAACAGCATCTAGTTGTTCCGGTAGAGCTTTACTAATACGTCGCACTTTTTTGAAGTTAGGTTGCTAGGAACTGTAAACTGGTCAAGGTAACACCCCACTTCTTTGACCCGAAAGTGATGGAAGCTGTTCCGAGGTGTGGCTGAGAGAGGGATTGAAGTAACCTAAGGTATGGCATGTCAGGTTACCGTTGGGCTGCGGCGGTGCAGGCGGCCAGGCGCGGCGCGGCCAGGGCGGCTCGAAGGCCGGGAACTGCGCGCCGCCCTCCGGCTCCTGCAGCAGGCCGCCCTTGTGGCTGAAGATGTGCGAGCTGGCCCCTGTCTCTACACAAACAGTACCGAACTTGCGCTTGCTATAGATTCATTCAGTCGTCAAGTACTTAGGTACCTACCTACCGTCGCTCTCTCGCCAAAATGCTCAACTTCAAAATTATGAGTTTTTCGTTCCTGCAGGAAGTCCTAACCATTGCTGGCATATGGACCATGCACCCGACGCTGGGTAGCATTGTATATTCTTATTTTTTAAATATGCTATCATTAAAGATATTTGATTAAATATGGTGAAGGTATTTCCATGGCATGGTCTATTGTAGGTATGCTAATAATCTATACTAATATTATAAAGGCGAAAGTAACTCTGTCTGTCTGTCTTTTCTTCACCCCTAAACGGCTGAACCGATTTCTGTGAAATTTGGTACAGACATAGTTTGGAACTCGAGAAAGGACACAGAATATGTTTTGTACCAGAAATCTGCAGGCAGTCGCTATTCCACGTGAACGGAGTCGTGTGCAAAAGTAAGTAAAATATAGGTATACATATAGATAGTATTCGGCCGCTATTTATAAGTAGCTAGAGCTACTTATAAATCAGCGCGTGTAAGGGACGTACCGCTGTAGCGACGCGGCGGCTGCGCCTGCGCCAGGCGGTGCGGCCAGCGCTCCGGCAGCGCGCCGCCCTCCCCGCCCGCCGCGCCCTCTGCAGGCGGCGGGCCCTCCCCGCCCGGCACGTTCTCGCCCGCCAGTGCCGCTTCAGCTGCCAGCCGTTCCTGTAACCAGTCCCGCTATCGGCAGTCAGCTCTCACGCAAACTCGGTGACTACTATCCACGCAGGAGCCCGGGGATGAGATTCCACGGCCCCACGTACCTGGTGCAGCGGCTTGTGTGTGGTTGAAGGAGGAGTGCGGGGCGCGGACGGCGGGCAGCCGAGCTCGGGCGCCTCGTCCGAGCCGTCCGCGCACTGCGCCACGCCGTCGCACGCGTTGTACACCGCGATGCACTCGCCGCCGCGCCGGCACGCGAACTGGTACCGGCTGCACCGCGACGCTGTAACCGCACCACTCTGACTCTTCACCTGGACTCCTCGACACACTGCTCATGCTGTATACATCGCTACTGAGATGGATGCACTCGTGCATGTCTTACTTAGACGGTTCACGGCCGGCATAACATTATTTATAATATGTACATTATAAGTACATCGAAGAGCAACAAATGCGTTGTCAGCCTCTAGAGGTTTATATTTTTTACATCGTCGGGTTTGTTTCATTTCTTCTCTAAATATTCAGATAGGAAATGCCGGCTTCATCTAGTTTTTTATATATAATTTTGCCGTGTAAAAGTACCTACACTACACCATACGTTGAAACGTATGGTGGTCGAGCAGACATGAAATTGGATGTAAGATACTCACGTATGACACTGGACGGAGACTCGGCTTCATGTGGCGGCGTAGGGCGCGGCGCAGGGGGCGCAGGGCGAGGCGGCGGGGGCGCGGGCGCGGGGGGGCGCGGGCGGGGGCGCCGTGCTGCCCGCCGTCGTGCGAGCCGTGCTGCTGCTGCCACCGCTTCTGGAGGCGCACCGCGCACATCACACCTCATTGTCACTCATTAATGGAGAGAGATAGCAGTTTAGCTTCTCATTCTAGCATAAGATTAAAGGATTTTTAGACGAATAAATTATTACTTGCAGAACAATTTGGTTTTAAAAGGGGTTGTTCAACACCTGATGCTGAATTGGTGTTGTAATTCTTAATCAGATATTTACGCAACGATTTGAGAATATTTGTGATTTATCCAAGGCGTTTAATTGAGTTTTGCATGATACATTGGTCAGGACGAAGCTATCCCATTACGGTATAAGGGGTGCTTGGACTTTCTTAACTTATACGTGAGTTACAATGTTCAGAGAATTGAAGTAAAAGAAATGATTTCTGCCGGGTATGTTGTTGTGATGGGTGTTCTACAGGGTGCGATTTTCAGTCCGTTTCCATTTATTATCTATATAAATTACTTGCCTTTCCTTGTACACGATAAACATGAAATAGTGTATTTGCTGATGTTATTTCACTATTATTCCAACTCGGACGGTGACAATCACTTATTGACAATGTAAACGGTACTCTTTCAGAAATAGTTTACTGGTTTGGTGGGAAATAACTTATTAGTAAATTAAACCAAAACTAAATGTATTTAATTTACAACACAACATCTTGAATAGGTTAAAATCAGAGTGTTCGTCAAGGTCGAGGTGTGTCCTGTAAATACAACTGCCTTTTTAGTTAATACTAAACCCTAGACGCTAAGCTCCAGAGGGAACGCTAACATATAGATGGGTGGTCGAAAAGTATAAGATCTGCCACGTATGCTGTTATCTTTTTAATTTTATTTAACAGATATAGATGTATCGCGGCTAGGTTTGTATTTGCACGACCTACCTAAATGGTCCTTTATTAAGGTATTGTTCGTCGGAAAACTCAGCAATGCCATTTAGTTGAACTGGTTGTAAACTGACACTTCCGTGTCTTCAGAACAGGCCCACTTAATCCTGGTGTGGTTTTTCGTCAAAATACCATCAAATGTTTTAATCTTAGTTTAGTGTGCGTAAGAGACAGAGCTAGATAACTTGTATAGCTCTTTCTCTTACCCACACTGAAATAAGATTAAAACAATCTTATTGAACGTCATGGTGAGCCCCTAGGATATACAATATCATATACATATATATGTATACTTATTTTTATATTTGCCAATGTTGGCATGCAAACATGTATTATGATCTATTCGCAAAAATAAATGCATTGTTTCATTGTTTATGTTTTAACTCATATTTTGTCCTTTCACTGAAGTAGTATCGAGGTACCTATAGTTGACGAAGCTCTGCTTCTGCCCACCGGCTTTGAGCTAGTTTAAAGTAACGTAAAGTATGGGATGATGGTATGTAAACTATTCCTTACTTTCTTGGCTAGACACCTAATGCAATTTTAAATACCTAATGCTTACAAACTAGGAATGCTCACAACGATTTTTTACATATTAAAATGTGCACTTATCTGCCATGACGGCTTACGCTTTATTTTAAAACAAGGTAAAGTAAGGTTATATTGTAAGAGCTACCTTTCATATATTAATTTGCATTGCTTGCTAATGATGCTGATGTCGCCAGCTTTGTAAGGGCAAAGTCCCTCATCTATCTAGAAACCCCGAATAGTTTAAAGACTACCTTTGAGGCCTGTCTGTTGTAGCGTACAGACCTGAGGTTGGCGAGCTCCTGTTCGTGGTGCGCGAGGCGCTCCTGGTCCTGCAGCTCGGCCAGCCGCCGGCTGATGGCCAGCACGCCGCTGCTGAAGTTGCTGTGCGCCGTGAACTTGCAGCGGAAGTCCTCCGGAGGGCCACAGTTGAACAGGTAACAGCTGCCGGGGCCCTGCGCACGTTCACTTACGATTCATATCGAGTTGTCTTGCTGCAAGCAACACTGATGAGCAAGCGGCAAGAATTGCGAAAGCTTGAACCAAATATTCTTGATATTGCCGATTATTGCCGGTTTTAGAAAAAAAAACACTTAGTCCGCCACCCGCTATGAATGTTAAAATGACCTAACGAAACCAGGTGTTACTTTAAGTTCATGTAACGCCTCTTATATACGCCAACCTCGGCCGAAATTATCATGGGTATACATAGTTAAGAAGTATCTGCGTAGCACTCAGACCCTTTTTATTAAAGGCTCTTTAGGCAAATAGTTGCAGCCCCGCAATCGCAAGCGATAGCTCGTTTGATCGTCATCATCATCTCAATTCTCAGCCTATACCTAAGTGGCTACAGCTGAGCAAAGACCTCTTCTCACACGGAGAAGGTTTGAGCATTCATTACAACATTTACACACAGGCGAAACGGCGATCTCAATCTTGTGTCTAAATAAATCATAGAAAGTACATATCTCGGAAAAGGTCACATTGGTGCTTGGTTTCGACTTTAACTCTGGACCACCACAATTGTTGTGGTCTATCCTTTGATGAAATGAACACTATGCCAACCAACCTGATCTACGTTACACAGTAGGTACGCTAGAGGGTAAAATGAATAGCTTCAAATTTTTGGATAATGAGAAAAGTTTGTTCTTACTGGAGCAAACTAAATTTAAAGACTCGGTATGTTCAATAATTATAATGTAAATAACTTTCTCCATCTCTTTAACTATTGAGAATATCGACCCTTGAATCCGAATGATCTGTAAGAAATGAGAAAGGTTTTCTAATCATTTAAAGTACAGGAATTACTACATAGTATAAAAATAATATAAAATATGTGTCTCTGTCCCCATCCCTATGTATCCTTAAATCTTTAGAACGGCACAACGGTTTTTTTATTAGATGGAGTAATTGAAAAGGAAGGTTTATGTGTAACCATTAACGAGTAGAGATATTTAGTATCAGCATTGCATCCGCAAAGCTGAGACGCACTGAATAAAACAAAAAAGGATCATAACTTTTGACCTGTTAAGAAAGGTCCAATTCCCAATACAAATCTCCTCCTCCAAGCCTCTGTTTGATTGGATCCATATTTCCAAGGAAAATGATGGTGTGAAATTGTAAGAATCAGCCTTGAGGACCAGTTATCCAAATATAGGTAGGCCATGGCCTCCAATTGTGAGCTCTCTAAAGACTAGTAGGAGCAGCATGTTTGAGAATTGATTTCGACTACTCTATTAGAAATAATATGTGGTTGGGTGATTCTTCACATCAATTAAAAAAAATTAATAATGTCATTATCCTCAACCGAAAATTAACGAGTCTGCTGATTAAAACACAGATAATTATTTTATTAAATTAAATCTCACCACTGCTTACAAGCAACCGATTAAAAATATTGTATAAAATAAATTACTAAGATGCTTAAAAACCTGGGAGGATAATGACTTGTTAAATAAAAGTTAAGGTTTTTTGGAGAATCACCCGGTTGCATTAACTGATCCAGTACCTACACCAGTTTCTGTGGCAGTAACGTTACAGAAGGAGTACATGTTTGATAGTAATTAGGACAGTAGTTCGGAGTACCTACCTATTCTGATTATATTTGTTTACTGTTACGTTTATAGCTACTCTCGCTTATCCCCAATTAATTAGTTTACATTATTATCTATTCATTAAAAAAAGAATGATAGAAACCAGTATATATGCGTGACCTTTGCGACGCCATGCATCAAGATAATAGTACTGTAAGTATGGGCCGTTTAGTCACATTACCTTCTCCATCTACAGGTGGTCCACGTATAATAACATTAATGGATGTCATCGCTAGTGGATGGGTCGCTAGTGCAAAAATATACCTTTTCCTCATAGACGAAAACGTCGCAAGCGTCAGTCTCGCAGCAGAGCCGCAGACACTCGGAGCGCGCGCCCACATCCAGCTCGGAAAGGTAGCGCGCGCCCATGTCGCGCGACTCCTCCGTGCGAATGATCTTGTCGCGCTGCACGTCGAAGCGCGAGGCGCAGGCGGCCGGGTCCAGCTCGCGCGCCCGCACCGCGCCCAGCACCAGCGCCGCCCACCACGACCACAGTCGCAGCCGCATCCTGCACGCTCACCTCACTCACACTCGCGGACCTTCACTTTACGGATTCTTCGATCGAGTGTACGGGTGACCGTGTCCCCGTCGTCCATCTATGTGGATTGTGGCTGTCCCAAGCCAGCGGTGACACCTCGCTACGTGTCCGCTGCAGTAATCGGCAAATGTTGTCTCAGCGGGCGCCGGCCGCGGAAGTTAAAGTGAAGTCACATGAAGCGCCGTCGGGCGGCCGGTCGATACGCTCGCGCCTGCGCACTGCACACGCGCTTGAACCTCGGATGTATGAATACGGTGGATAGGGCGATCACTCTTAAAAATATATCCTCTGTACGAGTTACTACTATAAACGGGTTGTACATGATAATGCTGCTGAGCAGCGTGTTGCGGGTTCCACTCGATTGAATTTAGGGCTAATGGTTTTACACGCCTGTTACTGCTTCAAATTTTTTGTGAAAAAAATAAGAAACAGTAAGCTTAAATAATTTTCGCGTGTTTCGAACAGTTCTCCCCTACCCGATGCCCTCTTGCAGGGTCTCTTACGTGGAATCAGTAGAGCACTCGCTTTATTGCGTATCTTTGTATGATAACATACCTACATATGTACCTATGCACTGGATGACCACGCCGTGTCCGGGGTGCAAGGGCAATGATAACCCGCGCCCCGCGGCCCCAGCTCGGAGTAGAAACAGAATGGTTTTTAGTCAGTAAGAGTCTGACTGTACCTCTCTCCCCACTCTGGGTGGTAGAGTTCATTAGGTAATTTCCCCTCTCAAAAGAAAGCACTGCGCATTGCTAGGTGATTCTGCATTACAAGTGTTGAGTATTGGAGGAGAGTGATAGCTACTGTTTGGCGTGAAGTGTTCACGTGTACGTAGATGTAGGAGGCGACCTGTATACATATAGCGCCGCGGGGCAGCGTCGCGGCGGCGCGCGGCAGTGTCGGCGCGACCCGGCCGCAGCGCGACGCTCCGCCTCCATGTCGCTGTTCTTCAAGTTCAGGAGCAGCGTGAGTACCTTGCCGATACCGTGCGTCCGCAGTCCTTCACTTGTCTACATTAAGTATTACCTATGTGTGTGTATTCGTTAAAACGACAACGGCCGGTTGTGTAGCTGATTATGTCGCCTTTGCGCTTCGTAATAATTAACGTACCTACTAAAACACTTCTCGTATTGCGTCCCTACCGCTTACGAAAGCGTCATTCATAAAATCGTATTAGCATTAAAGTTAGGTAGTTTATAAAAATTTAATATTATTAATTGAAAGAAAGACCTTAAGCGTTAATAAGTACTAGACTTTCTCTAATTTAAAAGTGATTATGAAGAGCATATTGTAAATACATAGTGATAAATGTGTGCGGCTCGCAGAGCGCAGGGTGGGGTTGAAGTTGTGAGAGTGGGGGGTGCGGCCGGGGCTCGGGCTGACTCGGGCAGTCGGGCTACTCCTCGCGCAGCCCTGCCTCAGCCTCGGCTGCCCGATGCCTACAGCCGCGCCGCCGCCCGGGCTGAAAAATTAGATATTTTTGTATTATCTAGTTAATCTGTATCATACATTAGACTACTACTATCTACTTTTGAAAAATAAATTTTATTTACTTAGTGAATTCTTCTATTTTTATAGTCTTTTTGATAAATAGACTTAGACAGTCTATACAACATACAATATTATCCATCTGAACCTAACTGACAGACTTTAGCTCTATGATACTAGTAAAAACATGATAAACAAAGGCTTTTATTTTATTTTTATCATCGTCATCACCATCATCCTATAAGTGCCTGCTCCTGAGCAAACTCTGCCCCACGTTCAGAATGTTTAATCACCACGCTCACTCGCTCAAGGTAAGATGATTTCAAACGTCCGGGCTTCTTCACAATGTTTTCTTTAATCTCTGTGCCATGGACTCAACCCCATGCATGAGAAGCGAGTGCCTTGACCTTCCAACCACCGTATTTTTTTATCAGATCAAAATTAATTTTACGTTGTTCGTTCTTTTTGTGTGATTTACACAAATAAAGCTCTTTCGGTTTTCGAGATATTCGCGTCGGAACAATTAAAGTACGTCTCGTAATTGGGCAGGTTACATTTGGAGTAGGTACTCATCGGACTCCAAACCATTGACATAGGAATTTTCTATCTCAATGCTCCAAACACGGTTTTTTTTAAAGAAAGAGATGTCGTTACATTGCTTACTTTTTCTGTCCATCAACGATGAAAGGATTAATTAAGGGAACCTGTTGGTCACATTTTCGTTCAACATTTTTTTATTCAAAAAGCTGTTGTAACTATTGCTTCTAAACATATTGTAGCTGTTAGATAAACTAATCAGGGGTGTTAGGGAGCTCCGTAACCGTAACCGAAACTATCGGATATCCGATATAAAAAATCTTCCGTAACCGTAACCGAATCCGGAATTAAAGTTTCGGATAGTATCGGATAGGGGCGGAGCCTAATTGAGACACGTTATGACAAGTTGTTTTGATCGGCCGGCCGCTGCCAGTGCCGACACACAAGCTGCGCGCATTGTTTTTTTTTTCTTCTTTGACAAATGTGTTGGTTGTGTTACGGAATCGATTGAATTTGTACAAAATACGTCCTAAGTCGAGTGCAGTTTGCTCGTTTTTTGATGAAATGACCGATTCCGCAAAATGTAGACAGTGTGATAAAAGCTTTTCAAGGAAATGAGGTGGGACTACATTGCTAAAACTTCACCTTAAATCACAACATAGTGATAAGTACGAAGAATTTTACTTTTAAAATTCCTTAAAAATATAATATCCGTAAGCGAAACTAACGGATAATCCGAAATAATTTATTATCCGTATCCAATCCGTAACCGAAATTTCATATCCATAACATCCCTTAAACTAATGTAGGTATACAGTATATAATTGAAATTATATAAAAGCATAGATTGTCGTTTTTATAGAATGTGGATCAAGGTACTTACAATAGTGTTGTACCTTGGTCATAGTTGAATCAAATAAAATTAAAGTATATTTCTCGACAAATAGCAAATAGTTTTTATTTTCAGTTTTCGTTTGTAGGCGACGTACTCGAGAATTTAATAATCTTCACTGACAGATACTATTTGGCCAACAAAGTATTCACCTACATACATAAAGATGACGTTATCAGATCACCAACACAAACACTGTGTGCGTGTCTATTCTCTCTCTATCCCTCAAAATAACTGTTCTTCCTCAGAAGATAAAAACCGTTCGTTTTCATTTGAATGTAGGTATTACTTTAAGCATTATGACCAAGGTACAACTGTTTTACTATGGTCAAGGTATAACACCCAACCCTTTTATGTTTATTCGCACATTTAAATTTGGAAATTATGATTAACCCAAACAAACATACTACATTCTAAACTTGACTAAAGTACTTGTTTAAATCATATAAACAAGTATTTGAAAATATATTTTGTTAATAAAAGAAGTAACGAAAAAATGAAACAAGAAATTCTTACTTTTATATTGCGAAAACGTAAATGCAAATTCGATACAATAGCCGCCTGCATCTAACTTCATGTTCATAGAAAAGAAAGACGAAAAAAGGAGCACGTGCTTTATAAAAAAAAATTTAAGTAGCTCTAGGTACAACGGGTGTCAAGTAACAATAACAGATTCCCCTATACCAGCTCGTACTCGATACATCAAGATGACACCGCACTTACCGTTACTTTTAATTTGAAAGCACGCACGTGTCACATACGTTTAGAAATAAGCCCTCGACCTCCTGAAAAAATGTCGATCATTGGTCGCCTACTCTATAATACTAATGTTAAAGTAGTTTTTTACTTTGTTTCCTCATAATTATGAAATGACTCAGACCTTAATAAGTACAAGGAATAAAGTCGGAGTTACGGCACAGCTAACTTATTTTTACCTTTCGTATAAAGAAAAGAACTATATCTACCAACCGATTCTTTTTTTAAATAAATGTAATTATTTTCTCACGTAGGTACAGAATATTTTGATAATTATTTGAAACTAGCTCTTACCCGCGGCGTCGCTCCCGTCATTTAACTATCTACCCTACTCTACATATCCTACTCTACCTATCCTACTCTATCTACCCTACTCTACCTACCCTACTCTACCTACCCTACTCTACCTACCCTACTCTACCTACCCTACTCTACCTACCCTACTCTACCTATCCTACTCTATCTACCCTACTCTACCTACCCTACTCTACCTACTCTACTCTATCTACCCTACTCTACCTACCCTACTCTACCTACCCTACTCTACCTATCCTACTCTATCTACCCTACTCTACCTACCCTACTCTACCTACCCTACTCACCCTACTCTACCTACCCTACCCTACTCTACCTACCCTACCCTACTCTACCTACCCTACCGTACCTACCCTACTCTACCTACCCTACTCTACCTACCCTACTCTACCTACCTTACTCTACCTACCCTACACTACCTATCCTACTCTCCCTAACCTATTCCACCTACTCTATCCTATGTCCTTCTCCTGGCTCTAAACTACCTCCCTGCCAATTTTCGGCTAAATCGGTTCAGCCGTTCTTGAGTTTTAAGTGGAGTAACTAACACGACTTTCTTTTATATGTATATTGCACAGCCGCTTTTTTGTAGCCATCCGAACTTGGTCGGGTTATGTAGGTTTTCGATGCTTCGTCAGTATTATAATTGTTTTTCTTTAATTACTGAATTAAATGACATGAAATTTTGCATGTGAATAATTGAATGAATACGCTAATTATTGGCATACATTTTACCATGCAATTCATTTAGAAAGTTGTGATATTTGACTGCTTTGTAAACAGTGATCTATTCATGGTAAATTTGTCCTATAACCAATGACGTATTATATATAGACACGTCATGAACCAACATCGCGGCGCTTAAAAACGGCGAAAATACTAGATAACTACTTCTACGAGTAAAGAAAGGGAAAGAAAATATGACATCGTATAGTGGAATGTCTTTGCTAGAGGGAGATAAATATACATCTTCAGTTACATCACAGGATAAGTAATAGTAATAGTTATTAAACTACATTTTCATTGGTCGAGCGCACGAGTGACGCAGCTATTAGAGGCATATGGGGAAAAAAGGACATTAGATTTTCTTGACTTATAAAATAGTTGATTTGTATCATTACGATTTTAATAAATAGAAAAAAAAAACTTTAAAATATTATTGATGGAATTCCGCAACAGTAATTATTGTTAAATAATTTAATTAATCATTATTGTTAAATTAAATTAAAAATAAAACAATATCTTTATAAACATAAAAGAACCTTCATTTAATACTGTAAAAAACATTAAAATACTAATAGGCAATCAAACAGTATGGTAATCGAAGTCATATATTATCGACTTGTGGTGCAGATACATATTTTCAAATTCCTTCAAACAAACTTAATTTATTTCTTTTTTGTCTCTTATAATTAATATTCATAACATAACAAGTATAATTATTATATTCAAACAAAATTATAAATTCTATCAACAAAAAAAACACTAGTATAATAGTGTCTCAACCTCCCCTATCGGCACGTGACTATACCTACATGCGCCGGCCGCCATAAGATGGCGGGCGCCGGCGTCGAAAAAAATAAAATAAAAATAGCTTGTTTGGTGAACTTACGCATGAAATGACACATTTTTGTCTTTAACTTTTGGAGTATAATTTGTACATCGTCTGAACACACACGACGACATGCTTTCTTTATGTTTCGCACAGGTTTACACACACGATATAAATTAAAAACAAACGTAGCGTCGCGCGGCAGGTTGGTGCGTAACTAAGCGTGATGTTGTCAATTGCCTTCATTTCATGTTGTCATTTTAGAGCGCGGACAACGTATCTATAGTTTTATACATCATTTCCTATAACTATTTAATTACTAACGGAACATCATTGATACTTGGCAACATGTTGCAGACACTTACAAGGTTTGTATAAACGTGAAAATCTAGACCCTAAAGTGCATACTTTAAAAACTAAGACCCTAATAAGCGTATTTTACGTTTATATTTTTATCTTTTAAACCCTACGATTTTTTCTAAATCTGTTTTTTAAACAAATATAAACAAATTCAAAACAACGTATGTAAAAATCTACAGCTCTCTATGTAAGCGCTGTATATGAAAACTAGCTTATGGCCAAACGTTCGCGTAGCGGAAACTTGAATTACTCCGAAGTTTATGCATGCACTAGTTTTATTTATGCATACACAATTACACACAAATATACACTAATTTTTGGATACATCTCTTTTCTTCTAAAGTCTATGGATTACAAAAAGTTCCGCCAGGACAACGTTCGCCCAGATGAATCAGTTTTTGGTGAAGTTTTTTTTACCATACACAATTATACGACGTCATACACTGCATAATTAAAATCTTTAAATTCAACAACATTCCGCTGCACGAACGCACGCCAATATTTTTTTAGATAATTTTATGTAAAATATTTCCGTCATACATAATTTCTTTGTAACTTTAACCATTAACGCTACACACGCGACGGAAACTTAAAAAAGGGAATAACTGCTCCCGTTTTCCCAATTTTACCTACTTTGCTCTGCTCTGCTCTGCTCCATCCACATCTCCAATAGTATTGTGACGGAAAAGAGTTCATCATGACGTCTATGAATGGTTGTCAAACGTTGCCTTGACAAAGAGTTCGAGTCCCGCCGTAAGCATGGAGTTTTTGGTCGCGGGGTAAGCGCAATGAGGCACCGCGACCTCGGCCTAGAGCAGGAGTAGGAACAGGGGGGTTTTTAGTCAGTAAGAGTCTGACACTCCCTCCCGCCTGACCCTGGGCGGGAGAAGTCATTTGATGATTTTCCCCTCACAAAAAAAAAACATGTAGTTTTTAGTTGATGGAAATTTTGTGTAGAACTTTCTGGAAGCTTTTGGGTGAAAGAAATGGAAAATTAAAGAGCGAGAAGGAGAATAAAAAAATTAATAATGAAATTAATAATGAAAAGACGAACGAAATTGGATGTTCCAGAACCTGACCGGGGGTATATAAGCGGAACTACGGCTCACCATTGAGTTCTAAGTCCAAAGCGATTCTGAAGAAAAGGAAGAAGTGAAAAAGAAGAAAAGTGAGTGAAATAGTGAAGTGCAGTGAGTTAAGTCAGTGTGAACAGTGAGCGGCAAACGGCAGTTTGTGTCAGTCGCCCGGACTCTGCTGGAGAGGAACGCCGATAACTTAACTCCGTGGACGCTGTCTCTTGTAAGTCAAGTTCAATAGAAAGTCTGAAAACCGGTATATAAGTGTTTAATTAATTTCATCCAATCCCGTAACCCAAGCCCGCATCGTCAGGAACGTGACGTCGAATAATTGTACCAAGTTTCGTTAAAATCCGTCCAGTAGTTTTTGTTTCTTGAAGGAACATACAGACAGACAAAAATATTACTGATTGCCTTTTTGCATCAGTATCGATCACTTATCACCTCCTGATAGTTATTTTAAAATATATTTAATGTACACAATTGACCTGTCTACAGATTTATTATAAGTATAGATTGAGACGGCACTATACCTACCTAATGATAGTTATTTATCATTTTAAATAGTTGTCTTGGAGATTCGCTTTGTCTTCTCAGAGATTTTTCATTTTATACATACTTATTTTATAAAGGAACTTTTAACACTGATACGGCGGGCAGATGATGACGTTTGTGTTTGCTAAAGCGATGCCGTGACTCGCTGCTGCAATGTATGACGAACCACCTAACGAATTCTACGCCCCGTCTCCGTAAATGAGGCCTAATACTACAAATCAAAGAGTCCCTCGCGCACCTCAACAGACCATCAGACCACTACAAACGGGCTCATCAGGGCCGATGTTCAGGCTTAACGCTTGCCCCCACATACTCACCGTGAGTCAGCCAGGTGCCATGCATTGCGAACAATGATGTAAGTACCGCTGGCTATAAATAACTAGCCTCTGTCACGCGGTTCCACTCGCTGCTCGGCTCCTACAAATCGTAGCGTCATGTCTTATAGCCTAAAGCCTTCTTCGATAAATGTACTAACAAACACAAAAATAATTATTCAATTACTGGAGATTATCGCCACAGTATAAATAGTAGATATTATTACCTTGTTATCGCGTTCAAGCAAACAAACTCTTCAGCTAATATTAAGTAAGTACGGTATAAGCTGATTGGCTTGTGTTATTATGTGTGATACGTTGGCATTGTCGTACCTTTGTTTATTATAAATGAATGCACCAGGCTAGCGATGCGTTTTGTACCACACAATCAGCTGTGCGCAGCGCGGTCGGCGGGCGAGAGCCGCGCGGCCGCGCCGCGTGCCCGTCAACCTCGGCTCGCGCCGCGCCCCGCGCCTCCGCCACGCCGCCGCGCCGCGAGGCGCCCCGCGCCGTTGAACTCGTCCGTCTCGCTACACGCGCACGCAGTTGAAGCGAGCGCGCCTGCTAAAGCTCTTGTGCTCGCTGTTCAGGCGATACTACGAAATTGTCGGTTGTCTGTCCATGAGAGTGCACGCTGCACGTATTGTGCTCTGTGGAGTGGTGATTCAGTGATCCGTACTTTGTGTGCAAGTATTTGTGGCTGTGTGGTGTAATTGCTGTTGTGTTGGTGGTCTGAGATCACCGTACAAGGAACTGCGATCAACAGTACCCGGGAGCCTGAGAGGGCAGTGACCGCGGTCGCGATCTCGGTAGGTACGAAGATGATTGTGAGCAACACACTCGCGCGTAACATACCTACTACTTGAATTAATCATAACACTAGTTAACGGTGTTTTCCCACAAGTGCCCACAACAAATTAAGGTTAGGTACTTGAGCTTCGAAAGCGTGTATCCTATATGATGTGATTCCTACCTTCCTAGGGATAGATTGTTTAGTTTCCCAAATATAGTTACATTCCGGGACTTGGCTTTCAAACATTCGTAACGGAACAACTCCTAGTGTTTAAAAATAGGCCAAGTGTAGATAATTAGATATTAAACACATATTCACTTTATCATGATGCCTCAGGCTTGAATCATTAGCACATTCTTGCCGAAAAATTACGTGTTTAGTTTTACATACCTGTCTAGGTTCGCGTCAATCTATCGTGCAAATTGAAGGAATGATGACCTCGTGATCATATCCGTGACGTCGTTCGCCTAGCTCGACGATGCCCATCCATTTACTATAAAAGTTATTATTGAATGAAATGCGTCATCGCATTGCAACTACAATACAACAAGATACTTATCACCTGTTTATGTACGTACAAGATAGATAGACAAAAGTAACGCACTGTCCAGAAAGCTATTAAAACAACCTCCGGTTTAGCACCTTCATAACTGTTTACATTTCTGAATGTCGTCAGTCAGACGAGTTGGTTAACGTCAGCTATCACATGTAGATGATAACACGTTGTGTTGTAGTGATACGGCATGTGTCATAGTCATAACTCATACAAAACCAGAGTTAGTGAGGTTTAATAAGATTGTTGTGAGGGGAAAATCATCAATTGATATCTCTCTTGCTGACTAAAACTCCCCCGTTCCTTCTCCTGCTCTGGCAGCGCTGGGCCGAGGTCACGGTGCCTCATTGCGCTTACTTCGCAAGCCCGGCTGAAGATAGGTATCTAGCTACATTCATGTATGTGTACACACTGAGGGCTTACTGCTCACGGATCTGTTACATCACTTTCCCAATTTCGTACGACCTATTTAGGGCTGGTGAAACATGTCCATAGGCCTTTATCTCAAATTACAAAATCATAATAGGGTAAACACCCCAATATGGACAGTTTCAGAGAGAAAAAATTGGTACTTGTAAAATTTTACCAATTTGTGAATGTTTCCGTATCTACTTACTGAAACTTTCAAGATTTTTGTGTTTTACGTTTTATTATATGTAGGTATCATTTACAACTAGCTTGTAGTAGAGAATAATAATTATAATAAAATATTACGTTTAAATTTCTGAACATACAAAAGTACTTAATAATAATTAAGTTTCGATATTTGTCCATTATTGGAACTCAACATAACCTTTTTGATATATAACAACAAGTGTGTGCTGTCTTCATTTCATTATTAACCCAACACACAAAACACATTCTGATTAAAAAAAAGGAATACCTTAGTATACAGGTGGAACTTTTTATTTACCGCACTAACCAAATTCCATAAGAAAAGCCGCTAAGATCAATTTTTTTTATTTACCGGAAAACTTTGAACTCGCGCCGCGTCTTTTTCATCGAACTGACAGAGTGAAATCAGCATAATAAGGTCTAAATACGGTAGTTTCCAACTAGTCAAATTCAATACTTTTATCCAAACGTCAAAAACGATACTTTTCTATGAAATTTGTATGAAAAACTGAGCTATGACGTCATAACATTTTTGCGTCAAATAGCTTACTTACTTCCCAATAATTAGCTAAAAAAAAATCTAAAACTTGGTGTATCGATCGATCGATGAATAAAAGTTTAGTTATTTTCCAATATTTTATAGTATTTAAACATCGAATTAATTTATTTTTGACCTAGGAAACTACCCAATTATATGTCACAGTGTTGCCAACATTAGAAAGTGGCTCACGTCCTTATTCTGAGATAATTTAATTATTTTTCGTGCATTACTGGTTCCTAGTGCGTTTACTCTAGAAGTAAATGATCGTGGAGTAAGCACCACCTGGCACTTTGTCCTAATATCATAGGTTTCTCTATTATAATATAATTTTACTTGCACTAATTGAGGCAGTTGGCAAGTTTAAGGGAATGAAATAACAAGTTCTAATTCCAAGCTATTTTTATTACTTAATTTATTCACATATTCGCCGGCGTTTCCGAGATAAAACCCTATTTGTTATATACCTACTCGACTAGAATCCATCTTATATACCCACCAAAGATGATTGACAAATTGCTTAGAGACTGATCACAAATAATCAAGCAGTACAGTTAATAATGTAATAAGTAGGTATATAATACTTACAATTAATATTGATTCACGGTTGAAATCAATAACCAATTAAGCCTCCTCTACGCTCACGAAATTGAACGATGTCAAACGAATACGATAGTGTACCAGAAGCCCTTTCGACCTACTTTGTCAAACTTTACATCGCCTCGGGCGACTTCTATTTATTGTATGTTTTCCCCCTGAGTCAAAGGATGGCGTAGTGTCGCAATTCCTAGATTACTTAGCAACAGCCTAGAGAAGGCATACTCCAAAAACGTCTTTTTTGATAACAAATATATGAAGATGGGTTTTATTCATTTAATCCTCAAATATGTGAATCAAACCCATCTTCAACAGCCCCCCCCCCCCTTAATAATGTCGGCCTATTACGCTTCTATCATCTCTAGAAAAACTTCCTGAACAGTTTATTGTTTATCTGTACGCGGCTCTCTGAACGTAGTAAAGTCAACCGACGAGTACAAAATATCAAGTAGTGTAGCAGCTTTGATTATAAATATGTCTAGCCTAGATCACAGTTTACTATAAACTAGTCATTGCGTCTAGATAGTGTCGCCGTACAATTATTAATTACTCTAAGATCTTAGTAATAAGTACTGAACATACATAACATTTACAATTCTACTTTTTAATATTGAACTAACAAAGTACACTATTATTTTTTACAGTATTATGTTATTGTGAACTTAGTAATCATTTTGATCTGCAGACAAACTATATATGTGTATAGTTTTGTCGGACAATATTTGCGTCGTAAGACTTAAAATGTACCATGTTTGATCAATATATAAATAATAACAAAAATGGCGTCTTCTCTTCAAAAGTTCTTTGTATGAATGGCTGGAAATTAAAGATCTGGCAATTACACATGACTCAAATTCACCTATGATCAGCACATATTTATATCGCAGAGCTAAAAGGCCAATAAGACCAGGGTTTTATTAAAAGATCGTTTAAAATTCATAGTAAACGTGAAAATTGAACAAAATCTTTGTTGTTCTTTGGTTCGCAGTACTCTCGAGTATTTGTTCTCAGGTTTAAGTCCGCAGTGTAATGTTTACATTACATTAACAGACTAGAAACCATCCATCGCAAGTTTATTAGATACCTTTAGAATAAACGAGACACGTGCGATGATAACGAGCAGCAATGTAGGAGGTACCACTTACTGCCACTCAGCGAGAGACGAAAAGTTACGGATCTCACTTTGTTAGCAAAAATAGCTTAATCCAAAATACATAGATTCACCTTGCCTACTTTCAAAACTGGACCGTGGGTCCCCACCTGGTAGGTTACAATACCGTACTACACATATATCTGCTAGCTGTATAAACTTAACTTGCCCTAATTTGATGGAATAATCTAATTAGAAGGACAGCTGTAGGTACGTGTTTAGTAACTAGTAAGGTATTTAGTAGTTTAATCCCGGTTGTAATAATGACCAACCGTAGGTATTATAGCTACCTATTATATTTGATATGTATTGAATAACTCTAGCACAATGCAATCGGCAGCGACCAGCCGGACTGGAGGCCAGGCGCGTCGCTCGTCCTGGTTGTCATATCTTTAAGCGATTAATAATGATAACGTTGCAGGTTTTATCATTATCAGTATCTTGCAGCTATTTGTACATACACATGTGAGGCGCTGGCAACCTAAGATAGGCTGGTCGGAAGCCAAACACTACTTTCGTACTTATCTATACTTCATAGTACAAAGCTGTTATAGGGTTTGTTTGTTTTAACGCGCTAATCTCCGGAAATATTGAACTTTTTGTTTTTGTTAGCCCATTTATCGAGGAAGGCTACAATCTGTAGAAGCCGAGCAGCGGGTAAAACCGCGTATACACTCATAAGCTTTTTCTGTTGTATCTCTGGTACTACCACACGACTAGATACTACAGCATCATGTGTCACATATCGAGGACGGTGCGCGGCGCGAGCGCGACCTGTGTCACTGCTATTTATTTAGCGAGAAATTCAGAATTTCAATTAAGTACGTGTGTGTTTTGTTTGGAAGCTGGTCGTAATGAAAGCAATTTAAAATAATAAAAGAAACCCTTATACTAGCACCCAACCATCATTATGTACTCCAGGGTGTAGATAACTTGTGAAAATACTGTATTAGTGAACAAGATTGAGGCTTTTAATACCAATTAAAATATCAAATAGGTTTTAAAAATAAGAATGCCTTGCAAGCCACTGGATAAGTAGTAAACAAGTAATAAACAGAACCGATACCTGTAGGATAGGTAAGATTGTACGGAGTTGGGATCGTACACATTGTAGACGATATCGCAGCATGAAGTCAACTTTACTGTGTTTAGGCAATAGCTTCAAGTTAAAATATAATACCTAATAAATGATACCCAACTTAAAAAACTAATTTGAAAAATTAATTCAGAGAGACAGTGACTGCTTACCTACTTGTAGTTTCTCACTCTTCGTGTTAAACGCGAGCCGTTCATACGCATATCCACAACAAATTTTGCAGCGCTATTTTTTGTTATTGGACGTCCAGAAAGCTAACCGACTTTTATGGGACAAGCCCGCCACACAACTGTTATAAGCCAAGATCAGTAGACAGTCATAGAAACACAAAACACTGTAGTCCGGCTCGTCCTAGAGTAGGGACATGAATTACAGAAAGTGTCTTGGTTCCCGTAACGAAATAACTCAGAAAATATTATTCGAAGAGATTAAAAACAAAGTAGGTACCTCGTTTCCCCCGTTAGCAA